GTATCTCCTGTGATATGCTGCCACTTGGGCAGGCTTGAGAATTGCATTATCTCACGTGATAGACTAGTATATGTGGCTATTCACAACTTGACATGTGGCTAGTGAACCGAGAAACGGAATTTAATCTTTATTTTAATTTAAGCTTATATAAAAAAACTGAGTCACTGTATTTTTTCATTAAACAAATTTACTTTAGCAGAACTGTATTTCATTTTAACATCTGAATTATTTTTCTGAATTAAGATTTGCTTTAAATGTAAAATACACACCAGTTTTGAAGACTTAGTATGAAAAAACCTATTAGTATGTATCTTGATATTATCATACATAATATTGATTACAAGTTAAAATAATTTTTAAATATGTTAAGCTTAATAAAATGCTGTTAATGTCATATTTCTTTGTACATCTTTTGATACAGCTATTAGAACAGGTATATATGTGACTTACATTTTCATTGCAGAGGACTGCTCTAGACCTGGCCTCTCTTCCCTCAAAGGCTATGAAAACAGGTCTACCTCCCTCTAGACAAGTGGTTCTCAACTGTGGGTCACGACCTCTTCAAGGGTCCAATGACCCTTTCACAGGTGTCGCCTGATTCATAACAGTAGCAAAATTACAGTTATGAAGTAGCAACGAAGATAATTTTATTTTTGGGGGGGGGGGTCACCACAACATGAGCTGTATTAAAGTTGAGAACAACTGCTCTAGACCCCACCTGAATTTGTTCTAGGTTTTAAGGGTCCTGCTTGCTCCATGACAAAAACGTCTTCCCTGGCTTTTTAAATATTGATGATAGTCTTTTTTTATTATTCTTTTTTTTGTATGTTTATCTTTACATCACTATTGTTTTATCCTTACCATTTCATTTCTTTTTTATTGTTTCTGTTGGGTTTAGCAGTTCGTACAGCACAAGAGTGGATGCATAGAGATAATAACTGATGCAAAGGTTAGTAAGGGATGTAGGGTGGAGGTGGGGGGGATGGGGTGAGTAAACAGGAGTAAACAATTAAGGTGAGAGGGGGAGTGAATACTAGAACTGAACTTGATTACAAAACTCAAAGGCTCATTTTAATCATGGGGATGGGGGGTACAAAGGAAATGTTCTGAAATTGATTGTTGTTATGATTGTACAAGTCTTCTTGATATGACTGAACTATTGAATTGTGTGATATGTGGATTTTAAGTGCCAATAAACCTGTTTAAAAAGACCCTGAAGTTTAAATAAGCAAATCTGGTAAATGCCTTCAGACCAAAGCAGTTTTAGTGCTGTACCATATTTCTTTGCTCTGAAGGTTTTTTCTTCACTCAAATGAATGGAGCATCAGAATCACCTGGAGTGTTTAGTAAAACACAGATTGCTGGGCCCCAGCTGCAGAGTTTTAGGCTTAATAGGCTTATTAAGGTGGTGCCTGATAATTTAAGTTCCTAACCAGTTCCCAGGTGATGCTGATGTTGCTGGTCCAAGGTTTATACCAAGTGAGAATCACTGATACTTTTAAGAAGTTTGGCATTTTATGTAGTTTACACTGTGAAGATCTTTTCAAATACTGAGAGATTCAAGCCCCCATTCCTCTAATGTTCACAATTAGGCTTTTATTGCCCTCCACTCTATAAAAACTGCTCTTCTCAGTCACCTAATTAATTCAAATCTCAGTCCTCATCTTACTTGATGCCAATATGGGACTCTACCTAAGTCTCATGTTCCTGAGAAAAAGTGATGGTTAATGAAAACCCTCCATGTTTGCCGGTGACCCTGCCCCTTAAGACTAAATTAAGACTCATGCTGCTCCTTTAAGACAAAGCCGGCTGGACACCGACTCTCTCAATTCCCATTCATTGGTTCACAAATGATAATATGGATGGTTTTCACTGATCAATAGGAAAGGCTTGTTGAAATGACCAAACTATAAGACTATCTCCATTTCTTAGTTCTTTAAATTCGGACCTAACCTCAGCCTGCGTCAGCATACAGCCTTTTCTACGTAGACCTCAAGGAAAAGCAGTCTCTCTGCTGACCTTAAGGAAGTATGCTCCTCGAACACCCCAAATCCATACAGCTGGTTCAATTTCTGATTACACGTTTCTAAAAAGAAAGCCCTGCTGGCCTCACTTTTGTGAAATGTGCAAGTTGCATGGTTGAAGAATTCTCTGTATTGCATTTATCCCCATTCTATTATAATAGTAAGTTGAATAAAGTCCCTCATTGACTAGGTCCAGGTGTTTTTTTTTAAAAACAATCCCCAGCACTAGGAAGTTGAGCACTCTTCATTTGGTTTACAAGTAACTAACATTCCCAGTTTTCTTTCTGCCTCACTGACTGTCATTTGTTCTTTGATGGTCTTTTTGCCAACTCTTTAACGTTGGGCTGTCATAGAGTTCAGTCATTAGTCCTTCTCTTTTCTTCATTTAGACTCATTCTCTTGGTTATCTCGCAGAGTCAGCAAACTTCATTTCCCACTGCACTTATCAAGGGTTAACTGAGCAGGATCAGTCACTTTGAGGACAAAAGTCTATCTGGAACAGCCATAGTCTTCCAGTCACCTCATAAGCATGGGAAGTAGGTTAGTGGGCCCGCCTAAGTGCGGTCAGCAGCCACTCCTGGGGAGACAGAGGAGCCTGTCTGCTGCTGTGAAGGCTGAAGTCCGAAGCCCACAGGGGCAGGCCTAGTCTTCTCCACAGGAACAATGACTCAGCACCGACTCAACCGCAGTGAGGTGGTGCTGTGTGTGAGTGGTGATGGTGAAGACTATTGAATGTGGCAAGAATATTAAACAGACCATCAACTGTCAGAATACAATATAGATAATTCTTAGAATAAATACAACCAGAGTGTACCCTACAGTGGAGAATTATGAGATTTTGACTGATTCACTTTGTACACATGTGCCAACCACTTATATTTTGGGGCCTGGATACACATACAGGTCATTTTGCAACTCTTCTAATTGCTTCCTTAAATATATCTAAAATCAAAACCTACTCTAAATCTCTTAATGGCATTAAATTGTTCCCAGTTATTGTTGCTAAAAAGTTTGGTGTTACTCATCTCCTTTTCTTCCTTCTTTATGATTGGTCTTCACTCGTCTATTTTAGGAATAAAAAGCTTGAAACTGTAGGTAGGATTGGACAGATGTTATGACTATCCCAAATCCCTTCAAGATCCTGATGTTTTGTTTATTCACTTAAACATTTATCTATAAAGTAACTTTGCAGAGGTGCTTATCAACTGAGGTTGATAATCAACTGAGTTTAAAATGAAATTATCCTGAGCTAATCAGGTCACCACATAGGGAACAGTAAATGTAATCATACGGGATCTTAAAGGCAGAGGGAAAGGTGGAAGTGTCATTCAGGCAGGCTTTACAGAAGAAAGGACAGCAATAACGAGTAGGAGAGGTCAGACTCAAAGCCTGAGAAAGACTTAACCTGCTTTTCTGAACTTGGAAGAAGGAGGAACGTCATAAGCCAAGGGATGAGGCAACCTTTGGAAGCTGAGAACAATCCCACCAGTTAGAAACTAGTCAGGAAATGCAGGCCCAGCTTGATAGAAATTAAACCACCATTTCTAAGCCTGTATACACACCCTAATCAGCTCCATCTCTTTATCGTTTTACTTAAAAAATCCACCCTGATACTCCGAATTTAATAATCTTATTTCTACAGGTATGTTTCAGGCATCCACAAACAAATTTGAAGATGTGTTAAAGAATGAATTAAGGTGGTGGTGGATAAATCAAATCCAGTAACCTAAGGGGTCTTTTAGGCTTACCTAGCAGCATTTCAAAGGACAAGTCAACATGAATGTTTAAGAAAATGCTTCAGCAGTTCATAAGTAAATAATTTTAACTACTGTAAATTCTATTAGATTGAAAAAAAAACTGAATATGATTCATAGAAATGTGATGGAATGTTTTATTTGAATAAAATTCATTAACCTATAACCTATAAATTCTTTCAATTTCACAATTTAGAAGGCATATTAGCATAGTGGATTAAAAGTGGTAACCTTAAACTCAGTAATTCAAAACCATCAGCCGCTTATCAGAACAAAGATGAGGCTTTCTACACCCATAAAGATTTATAGCCTCATAAAGCAACAAAGGAGGCTCTAAAGTCCTTTAAGGTCACTGTGAAGCACCATGCACGTAATGGCAGGGAGTTGGGGTTGGGTTTAGCATTACAGGGCCCCATTAAGAGTGCAACATACTTTTGAAACCTTGATTTGTTTTTTACTCCTAAGGTTTCAATACAAGTATAACAATTTGAGGATCAGAATCTTCAAATCAGTCCCACCTTAAATTTTTAAAAAATGCAGTCATTTTTTCATTTTATCTTCACCTATCAATTCTACTAATGTGAATGTGTTGATTTTGAAGTAAGAAATCTGGAACTGCAGCCATTACTAAAGTTGAATTTGCAAATTCAAGGCAATTTATACTAAACATTTTACTATTATTTATGCAGGCAAAATAAAGTTAATTCCCACTATATTTCTTACCACATCTCCTCTCTTGATTTCACACTCTTCTCCCAGTTTTACAGCATCTTCTCTATTTATTGTACTACATATCCTGGACACTGCAATTTATCTTTTCTTCTTAAGCTTCAGCTACCATTTATCCTTTGCTTTCCATCCTCAAATTCCCAATCCTACTGCAATCCTTCAACCCACCTTCCCCAAGCAACCAACAGCCTAACCACTGTGAGGGCAAACATACCAGTGTTTAGAGTACTTAGGGATTTCTTATTATGCTAATAAATATGAAAAATAATTATCTCTACTTACTTCTTAAGTAACTAAGTTCACTCCATAATGGGAACAATTTCATCATGAAGATAATGTACTGAAAAGACTTAACCAATGTCTACTTTTTAAGTAACAGTTCCTTTCTTACCATATATTAAAATAATGTTATCAAATTATTAACATAAAAAATGCCAGATATCTTTTCTTAAAGGGTTATACATCCTAAAACAGAAAACAAAGGTTGTTTTACCTTCAGGGGCATCAGCATCACATCTCTTTGGTGTAGCAATAGTTGAATTGCCTTTATTATCATCATAAGTAGTATTGTTCTGGAAGACAGTAATGTAAATATTGAATTTTAATACATTAATACATTTTGCATAAGAATGTAATCACATTATATACTTTATAACCTGTCACTACCTTAAACTGTATTTCCTGAGTGGTACAAATGGTTAATGTGTTCACGTGGTCTCTGCTAGACCAAAAGACTGGTGGGTCACATCCATCTGAGAGACCGAGAGGAAAGGTCGACTAAGGATCAACTCCTAGGCAATCAGCCATTGAAAGCCCAAAGGAGCATAGTTTCACTCTGAGATTTATGGGGTTTCCATGAGTCAAAATCAATTTAGCAAAAATGATGGCATGTCTTAAACTAGATTTAGCTAATTTCAAAAGTGTAAATTTATTGTAAAACTAGAATTAGAAAAATAATTTGGTAAGTTTTAACACCCAGGTTATCTACAATTGTTTAGATCCTGTTGTGAACAACAGAGCTTACTCTCAAAGCAACTAGTCCTATTTTGAATTAAAATATGCCATTCAAAAGCATCTAATTCATTACTTTTTCCAGTGTATAATAAGAAAGGAGTAGTTTGTTTTCATAAAAACCATGAATTTCCCACATTCATTCATAGCAAAATGTTAAATAGTGAACAGGGAACAAGGCAAAAAGGCAAGACAAAGGCTGAAGAAAAATGACTCAGGTCATCTTCTAATACTATTTCTCAAACATCCATCATGACATGGAACATCTTTGTTCCAGTTACATTATTCCTTAATTAATATTTTTCAAAAATTAATGTTTAAGCAATATCCCGATGGGATTGAGGACTGGACGTGCCTGTTAAAGAGCCTGTGGTCAAGCACTGACATAAAAGGAGTGCTCTGGGAAGACTACCTTGATCATGCAAGGCTTATAGAAGGCCCTGAGACATGGGTACGTCGTCATAAAGTAGGACAAGAAATATTTTAGGAAAAAGAAACAAACTAGAAAAAGGTTGAATTTGAAATGGTCAAAATATTTTAAATTGTCAAAGAATCAAAACTAGCTGTCTGGTTTCAACTAGAAACCTACAAGTAGCATTTGAGATCAACACTATAAAGGTCTCAGTAGAGGTGGAAGAAAGAGACCTATCACAGTAAAAGCAAGCTCACTTGCTCACACACAGAATAATTATCAATCTTCTCCTGTGGGACTCATGGGGCTAATGAACAGACATATTGTGCTTTATCAAAATGGTTTTGGGATGGCATATTATTAAAATTTCTTAAAGCATCTATTTTACAAGTATGAGTTTTAATTAAGTGCTGAGATAAAGCTCAGTAGCTTAGTAACATGGGACCCATTTAAGGACCCATGGTAATGAAAACCCGTGTATTATTATTCAAAAGAACTTGACTGGTATATTGTGCCTCCACCTAAGTCTCTGTAGACACATGCTCCACAGGGTTTGTTTGTTTTTAATAACATTTTATTGTTATTTAGGTGAACTTTTACAGATCACATTCATTCCCTGGGGTTTTCAGCAGCTGCATTTACAGAAATAGATAGCCAGTCCTTTCTTCTGAAGTACCTCTAGGGGGGCTTAAAGCTCCACCCTTTTTGGTAAGCAGCTAGGATAGTTATTGCACTCCTCAGGGACTGTAAAAACTTGGTATGAAACAAATTTAAATATGCTTAAAAATAGGAATGAAAAACTGGCTTAAACAATATTAAATTTAACCTGGTGGGTTAATAATCTCATGGCGTCCTTTATAAATGCAACTGGTCTTCAATATTACTATCTTTTAAATAGCAAAACAATTATGTTTTAAATTTGGTACTTACCTCTATTAAGTAATTTTGGCTTCCATACATAACATATTGGGGGGCAAGACTATATATCATATAGCTAGTGTGAAGGACAATAAGCAGAAGTATCATGCAGAGAAATAAGAGTGCTTGGGGCCTGGTTCTACCTCTTCTTATTTTATATAACTGTAAAGTAAAAGTAACAACAGATAAGCATTAGGCTTCACTTATAAGATATTCCAGCCCAACCTTAAGTGAGTGGTAAAGATTTATAAAATTCAATCATATTTTTTCCCCCAAAATCAATACTAAAATTTGTAATCAACCAAATACCAATGTGGAAGACAAAAACATAACTCATTCTCTCTACAGTATTTATACTGTTAAATCTTTTTTAAAAAATCATAGTATAACATCAATATCTAAAGAATAAATGATCCATTAAAAGATGAAAACCTGAACAATGTTATTGTTCACAGTATATTTCCAGACACACCTTCCAAGCTTAGTATGAAACAGCATCCTTAGCAGTTCAGTAAGCTAAGAACTTCAAACCACTTCTGCTTTTATGCAAAAATTAGAATGAGTCGACATGTAACTATTAGTCAACTAATAGTATATACAACTAATATATACAACTATTAGTTGTATATATTACTGCTCAAGGGCAGACATTATATGATTACATTCTTTTTATGAAAGTCTCATCCTGTGCTGTAAAACCATGTTAAGATAATTTATGATAACTTTGGCTATATTTTCACAAAACTTATGGAATCCAGGTGCCTTTCATTTCAATGGAAAAGCACACATTTTAGTTACTATATTACCACCTTATTTTACACTAGTTCCACTATTGGAGAGTCAATTCTGACTCACAGTCACACTATTGGGCAGCGCAGAAGTGAGGGTTTCTGAGCAGGCGGTGGCTTTTAAGTTGTTAATCTTGCAGTTAGCAATTCAATGCTTATAGCACAGCACAACCAGGGCTTGTTTTTGTTGTTGCTGCTGCTACAGTATTAACAGAACTCATTAGAGCTCTGGTATTGTAGTGGTTACACACTGGGCTGTGATCCACATGGTCAGCAGTTCAAAACCACCAGCAACGACGAGGGAAAAAGACTGGGCTTTCTACTCCTGTGAACAGTTCTAGTCTCAGGAAATCCACAGGATTCACCATGAGTCAACAATGACTCAATGGCCATGAGTTTGAGAGAGAATTTTGAATGGGATAGTAATATGTCCACTTAAAAAAAAAAATCTACATTCCTCAGCTTTCGTCACTACTCATTACCATGTGGTAAAATAGTAAACAGTGAAAGATGAGAAGTCTTGGGATTTCTGGGAAACTTCTGCTTTATTAAGAGAATCACTCCTTTTTCCTACTCAACTTTACCCTTGAATAGAACATGGACAGGATAAATGAATCTTTAGTAGTCATTATGTGATCATGAGAAAAACACAGGAAGCATTGGTCCTGGTAGTCATAAATTACTAAAGGAATGCCAGATATTTTCCCTATATGTTTAAGTCATATTCTAATTAGGTTTTCTTTTATTCCCATCTGAAATTAGTCCCTACCTCATCTGAAAATTCTTAATTTATCTCAAAATAGGTATAAAGGGGAAACCATCCTTTTCTTAAACCACTTACTTCCTCTTTTAGTGATCTAGTGTTGTAGTAATTGAAATGTCACACGTAGAAGGCTTTCACAAGCAGAATGCATCCTCGTAGTGTAGGAGGCTAGAGTCCAAATTTAGAGTGGTAGTTCTAGGGCAGCAGGTCTCAACCTGTGGGTCGTGGGCCCTTTGGGGGGGCTGTCGAACGACCCTTTCACAGGGGTTGCCTGAGACCATCAGAAAACACATATTTTGATGGTCTTAGGAACTGAGACACTGCTCCTCTATCTGTCTCCAGGCGGGTCTGCCCACATGCAGATACATCCACATAAGAGGACCCGGCATGAAAACTGTTATCCATGCTATACCATGCTTCAAGGCAAAATTTCAATTATTTGTAATTAGAAATAAATATATCACAATATATAATTACATATTGTTTTTGTGATTAATCACTATGCTTTAATTATGTTCAATTCATAACAATGAAAATACATCCTGCAGATCAGGTATTTATATTACAATTCATAATAGTAGCAAAATTACAGTTATGAAGTAGTAACAAAAATAATTTTATGGTTGGGGTCACCACCACATGAGGACCTGTATTAAAGGGTTGGGGCATTAGGAAGGTTGAGAACCACTGCTCTAGGGGAAGATTTCTCTCTATGTCAGTGCTGGAGGAAGGTTTTAGTCTCTTCCTTTTCTGCTTCTTGGTGCCTTAAAGATTCATTATCATAGAGAAGATAACTCATTTCTAAATCAGATTATAACTACAGGGAAAGAGGTTAGGGTTTACAAAACATATTTTGGGGAGACATAATTAAATCCATAAAATACCCCTCATCTCCTAGTAGCAAAGCCATCTTTTGAGCTTCAGTCTTATCTATTTGTGCTTCAATACACAATGCAGTCACACTACATGAGAAAGCACTGTAAGTTGTATGCCACAGTTACTTGACCTCTACACTATTGACATTTTCCACCAAGGAAGCCCTTGCGTTGGGTGGCTGCCCTCTGTACTGTAGGGTTTTAGCAGCATCATCTCTGGGCTCGACCCACGATGCCAATAGCATCCTGAAGTGTCACCAACTTCTTATGTCTCCAGACATTGCCAAACAGTCTTTGTGAGTGAGGGGAAGCATCTCCTCTGGTCAAGAACTGATGTTTCCACAAAAAAGGAATTTTATGCTAATATAAAATGAAAAGGTAATGAATTTTATCACTTTTGATATACAGATATAACTTCTATTATATAAACCTAAGACAATTTGCAATGATGAACATTAAATACAAAATAATGAGAACAAAAATAAAAGTAATATTATAATACTTACTCTAATCCAAAAGAACCATATGCCAATATTTCGAATTCCCGCCATCGAAGTAAAAATAAAGTACATAATAATAATTGTTATTAGAATATAATCAAGAGGAAAAACCTAGGAAAGAGGTAAAATTAAGTTTAATACGTAAACTTTTAGGGTTCTAGAAAACATACACAATCAATTAAAAAATCTTATTATTGCCATTTTAAGATATTGAACCTGATTTATATTGGGCTACTGTGATAATGCCCCCTTCTATCTGTAAAACAAAAGCCTCAAAATGGAAGAAAAAACTATTACTTATTGAATTATTTTACTACCACATTTTTCAGAAAAATCTTACTAATTAAATTTCAATTTCATTTGTGTACTTTAAAAAATCTAAGGTTTTATGATTCCTAAATCAATATATATAATTTAAGAGATCAGCAATGTATCAATATACCTTTAAAGCAACATATCAATGTAAAAATTATACACAGGAGTCAAATTACAAAGAGCAAAAACATATTCCACATATAGTATTAACTGATGTGTCAGCAAAATAATTTCATATGAAAGATTTCAGAACATTTACTATTATATAAAATGACTTTTTACTTACTGTTTGCAGTATAGGTAAAAGCATATTTAAAGGATTACTCAGGTTAGTTCCAAAAATTATGAAACCAGAATCTATTCCAGCTGAATGAAGAGCTTTATCTAAACTACAATTGGAGAGGAAGGAAATAGCACACACAGAAAGAGTCAATGAACATACATAGTGGTAGCATATTTTCAGTTAAATTAGAAACAATATCATCATCACCCAAGGATGAAAATTCATCTCAGTCAAATTAAAACCATGAAAAATGAAAATCAAAGCTCACATAAATATCTTGCAGATATTGCTCAATTGGTATAGAACAGTGTTTCCCAAAGTAGGTGATATGGACTCTGGGAGATGGTTGGAATGATCGGGGAGAACAATAAAAGCGGTTTATCTGGCCGTGTTATGAGCAGTTTATCTGGCTGTGTTATAAGCTCTAGTAAAAAGGTTTTAATTGTTGGGGGTGGTGGTAGTGTACTAGGGAAGTTTTTTCTGAAAAGAGTGTACTAGGCCAAATAAGTCTGGGAATCGATGATACAGAATAAAGGCATACTATTAATGGATCAGAGTCCTGGAGGCGTAGCAGTGTGTTGGGCCACAATCTTCAGGGTCAGCAATTCAAAACCACCACCCTGCTCCTTGGGGAGATGGGGCTTTCCACTCCGTACAGAGTGACACTCCCAGAAGCCCACAGAGGTTGCTCTACCTTGTCCAACAAGGTCTTTATGGCATTCGTTTGTTACTTAATCATGCAGTCGTTTGTTAAGTTAACGCAGAAAACACTTCAAGTAAAATAGCTACTTAAGATGAACAGACTGTCCTAACGGTATTCAGCATTGGGAAAGGCTAACGCAGGATTTGTATAAATGCTTCGGAAAGTGTGTCTGCTGTACTTACTTTGACAGGAAGAGAGAAATCACAAACAGCAATGCAACGAAGATGAAAAATATTCCCCATATGATCTAAGAGCAAACATATAGTTATTAAAATATAGCTATAAAAGTTTAAATTAAAAAGGATAAACTACTGTGCTCAATATAAGTTGCTGGTACAGGATGATTAACTAAAATGGTCCAACATGTATTTTAATTTAGCATATAATTCCAGGAAATTATACTTCCTTACTTTTTACAGGACTATTTGATTGGGAACACGTACACACAAAAGAGAACACATTTGAAAAGCTTTCATTAGTAAGTAAAGAAATGAGATTCTTTGCTAGATCAAATGTAAGATATATATTCACCCACATGATCAAATGTAAGATATATATTCACCCACTTCAAAGTTAAAAGTACAACAAGACTAATAAATGCCAAAATAACCCCAAAGACGCTACCGGTAATCAGGTTTGGTATCGTTTTATAGTGGTAAGCACTATGATAATATCTCTGAAATATAATATTAACATAATTGAAGAAATTTGTATTTAAAAATGTTTCGGTGTAAAAATGTAATTAGCAAAGCATATTTCCTTATAAGCCATATACATGAGACCTCAAATAAGTCCACATAGAAGTAGCACACCAGCCTGTGTGAACCAAGGATTGTAAATAATATAATCCAAATTAAGACAGAAGGAATATAGTGTCAGAACTTAAATTGTGAACACCTTGTTTGCAGAAGGCCGTGGATGACAGTGGAAGGCCAAAATCCATTTGTAGGATCCGCACATATATGAAGCCTCTGATGAGTTCTCTCTGACCATAGTCCAGACAGAGAGTATTGTAGAGGAGATTATAGTAAGGTTAAAATGTAACATCTTATTTAATCCCCCTTTGACCCATTTAAAATTTATATCAGTTTAAGAGAACAAAAAGAGTAAAGGAGAAATTCAGGTAGATTAAGCTTCCACTGAATACCCTCTGAACACGGACCAGGGATGAGAACATCCTTGCTATCATACGGAGTGCACAGGAAAGTAAGTTATGCCAGACATAGGTTAAAATTCTACAAGTTAGCAGTTGATCTATCTTTCGACCCATTTAAAAATTGTTTTAGTTTTTAATATTTTCTGCTTTCATATCAACTGGGGTTTTTCTCTATTTTGTTATTGTTAGTGTTTGTGATTCTTGGTTTTTGTTTTATGTTGTTCAGTAAATGAAATCCAGGATAAGTGAATTGATAGAGATATTAACTGGATTAGTGGTTTCTTGGGGGTATAGAGGGAGGTTGGGGGAAATGGGGAGCTAATAACAAGGGAGATAAGAAAGAAGATTAGCAGTCAAAGAACTATCTCAAATCAATAATCTGACCTTCAAACATAAGGAATTAGTGCATATATATATATATATATATATATATATATATATATATATATGCAATGAAATATATAATATGCAATGAAAGCCAACATTGTGACTATATGAAAACCCAAAACCCAAATCCCTGGCCATTCAGTCAATTTTAACCAATAACCACACTACATGACAGAGTAGAACTGTCCCATACGGTTTCCAATACTGTAAACTTTAAGGAAACAGTGTTCTACCTCTTTCTCCCATGAGGCAATTAGTGGGTTCAAGTGATGAACCTTTTGATTAGCAACTGAGTGCTTTAAACATTGTGTCATCAGGTCTTCTTGTGTATACTATAACCCAATAGTGTGCACATTAAAAAGGATGAAGTATGCTTCTAGGTTTTTTGGTTGTGTAAATGCTTCATCTTTAGTAGGGACTTTCAGAGAAAGAGATACACAATTTTTTGAGCCCTCTACTCAGAGGGCACCTAAAAAAAAAAAGGATGACTTATGATATATGAATCAAAGCTAAATACATTTTTTTAAAGCTATATAGGCCAACAATCACTTTTATACCATTCTGAGATACAAACATTGTAGAAATCATTTTTTAAATATTCTAATTCACTTAATAAAAACCTCTCAAACTGGTATGGAATTTTTAATATTCTATATTTAAGCATCTTTCTGTGAATATTCTTATCTTCACTGTAGAAATACTGATGTGCTTGAACACATATTGCTCCAGACCCTAGAGCAGTGTTTTCAAGTGTGTGGTACCGACCCCTGGGGGTACGCTGGAGTGAACTGGGGGGGGGGGCTGTAAAAACAGATACCTATACTTTATTCTAGATTATTGGCTATAGTAAAACAGTTTTTAATGGGGGAGGGCTGAGTTTTTTTCTTAAAAGGGGGATGTAGGTTAAGTAACTTTGGGAACCTATGCTTTAGAGCAGAGGTTCCCAACCTGTGGGTCCGTGACCCCGTTGGGGGTTGAATGACCCTTTCACAGGGGTCGCCCGATTCATAACAGTGGCAAAATTACAGTTAGGAATTAGTAATGAAAATAATTTTATGTTTGGGGTCACCACAACATGAACTGTATTAAAGGGTCATGGCATTAGGAAGGTTGAGAACTACTGAGAGTGTAGAGTATACTATTTAAAATACAACATGTAACATATATATGGAATAAATAAGGCTAGATGAGAAACAGAAAACAAAAACACAAACCAAAGAATATAAAGGACAATCAGGGATACAGTCATTTATACATGTAAAGGCCTAATACCAAATGAAGGTAGAAGGCTGAAGGTTAGTAGACAAGATAAACAAAAAAGTTACCTTGGAAAGGCTAGGATTAAAAATTAAAACATAAAATAACTAGTATATGTATATAGATAAAGAAAAACTCTTATCTAAACGTCTTTACTTCTGCTCTTCAGAGGTAATTACCACTAGTGGTTTGTTAAGAATGCTCCCAGAAATAGTGCAAGGGGAAGCATCCTTAAATATGTGCAAGAATCTTAGCCTAAGTATATATGTAAGCATATTTGCAACCTGAACATCAACTAAATTTGAAATAAAATATATTCTGAACAACCTTTTATATGTGTAAGAGATTCCGTCTTATATGAATATACAAAGCTTTGATGTATTTGATTGGTTACGTAACACAGTACTTCCTTGTATGGATGCAACAATTAATTAAGTCATGAATGATGAACACTAATGTCTTACTAATCAACACCGGTTGTTTTCATAATTTAGTTATTATAAGCAATACTGAAACAAAAATTATTTTTTAAAATGGAGATGATTATTTTGAACATTTAGATTTACAGAAAAAATGAGCTGAGAACACATAAGTCCTAATGTATTAGAATTTTCCTTTGCAGTTTCTCCTATCATAAGCTTGCATAATTATGGTGCATTTGTTAGAACTAATGAATGAAGATCAATATATTACTATTAACTAAAGTCCATAGTATTAAATCCATAGTATTAAGCTTTAGTAAATTATTTAATTGGCTCTTCTAGTCAGTATCTCTCACCAAACGACCTTACCAGACCTTATGGGTCTGGTAAGAAGGTGGGAGAAGACACTGAGAGGATTCATGTGTGAGTAATTGCAAACAGGATTCCTTAGTGCTTTGTACTGTGTACAAAATAAGCCCTCTGAGAAGCAGGAGGAGGGATCTCTTTACCAGGAGGGACTGCTATAAACCAGCGAGAGACAGGAGTGGAGTAGGTCCTCTGGACCCAAGATTCCTCTTGACCCTCTTGGATCCAGAAGGCAGCTATATTATCAGAGCAGCAGCAGCAGAACCAGGAGGCATAGTATGGAACAGAGTGATGGACTTCCCAACCCAAGGAGCAAGTAAAGAGACGTGGTTTTGTGCAGGAGTCTGGCTTGAGGAGTGGAGTCTCTCTGGGCACAGAACAGGGGAAGGTGGACTTGCTAACCCCTGAAGTGTAAGCTGAATGCCTTCGGTTGAACCTTACAGTGGAATGATATGCCCATGCCCCTTTGGGCATAATAGCAGATTTGACTGGAATTTCTTTGTTTTTATTTGTTGATATATTGTTGGCTACTAGAATTATGCCTGGAATATACTAATTATAATTATTTGCTTAGTGAATATATTTTTCCAGGAGTTTTTTCAGTTCCTATTGTGTTAACAATGTGCATTTTAACAATTCTTTCAAGTGGTATAGATTAGTCTTAAACTGAGTTCATGTTCCTTAAACTGAGTTCATGTTCCTAACCCAGATTCAATATGCTGGCTTTTTTCTTTTTAACTCTTGCTGGAATTGATTTGCTGCTACCTTATCTAGGATTCTGTTTAATATTAGTTCAGGGATAGGACTGGTTTAGAATTTTCCTTTATTATTTTTTCTATGGGAGTCAAGACTACTAACTTCATAAAATAAGAAGTGTTTTCTGTGTTTTGGAGACTGCTATAAACCAGTAAGTATGATTCCATTTTCTCATAACCTGTATACAAGTTAACTCAGCCAGTTATTTGCAGGGCTTTTGATTTTCACCATGCAATGAAGCTTTGTTGGGGTAGAATTCATAATACTCATATGAGACTACATCCATTATCAGATGAACAGTGGTTTCCTTGATTAGTGTCTTGTCAGGTGCCCTTGAGTTAAGTAGCAGCTCATAAGGACACTAAGTATAATAGAATAAAACACTTCCCGGCCCTGTGCCATCGTCACAATTGCTGCTATGTTTGGGACCATTGTTGCAGCCATTGTAGTATTCTAACTTCAGTTCTTCCCACACAGATGTGTCTGTTCTTCTGCAGCCCCCAGTGTACTTAACATTCGTCACCAACACCATGAATTCTAAAGCATCAAGTCTTCTTCAATCTTGCTTATTCATTGTCCAGCTTTCCCCTGCATCTGAGGTGCTTGGAAACATCATGGGCTGGAGCAGACACACTGTAGTCCTTAAAGTGACAGCTTCCCTTGTTAACATTTTCAAGATTTTGTAGATTTGTCCAATGCTTTACATGCTTCGATACCTTGACTTTTTATGGGCATTGGTTGAGGATCAAAGCAAACTGAAAAACCTTATCAATTTCAATGTTTTCTCTGTTTATTGTCCGATTTGAAGGAGTTTTTGGGTTTTTTAAATGTATAAAGGAGACCAGAGAAGCAATGATGCACTTGAATTATAATGTTGAAGAATATTGAAAATACCATAGACTG